ATATAGTAGAAATGCTTCCATTCCATTTACATTAGGTAAGATGCTGGCTTTTGTGATCAGGATAAATTGTATAAAGATGTGACCACTGATTATATTATTTTGTTGACTATTGATTACATAAAAATTAGCCTATTGTTTTTCTTTGGTCCTATTAAAAGTGTGATTATATGCTAAGATTTTCAAATTCTTCTAGAATAAACATCACTTTGTCATTTTGTTATTCTCTGTTAGATTTGCTAATGCTTTTATTTAGGGATTTTTGCATTGATATTCATATGTTGGTATGTTGTTTTATTAATTGTGAATTCCAATTTTATTTGATTTGGTCTCCTTACCCCTCAATTCTGTTCCAGTTTAAATAATATTAGGATTATCTGCTCTTTACATGTTTGTAGCAAAACAAACAAACAACAACAAAACCATGTGTAGCCATTACTTTGGAAACTGTCAGGAGTGGGATGGGAGAGTAGAAGGAGCATCATTCTTTAGTAACTTTCTTTTGTTGCAATGGTATGCGTAACCTCTATTCTGGAGTCAGTTTTTTGTTTTTTTTTTTAACTTAAAATGTATTAAATTGTATACATTAAATGTATACATAAAATGTATGCATTTTACCATAACTTTTTAAGTAAAAATATTTAAGTTAAGCAAATTGAGTTTTAGTTCCTAAACCCAAGGACTTGCCTGGCTTCATCCATCTATAAACACCAGTTCTTCCATTTTAAGTAATATCTCAATAAGCTTCAATCAGGTAAAGAGTCAAGCATATGCACGGTATAAGCTGAGGAATCCTGACAGCATCTCTCTCTAAAATGCAAAAATATCAGCAGGTATGAAAAAGAGATCAAAGTTCAGTAAACTGTATTAAAGGTTTACTGTTAACCCTTTGATATACATTTTATAAGGGCAAGCTCTATCATACCCACAGCTGTTTCTATAGCACTTAAAAGACCTGTTGACACACTAAAGAAGATTAATAAATATTTCCAAATGAATGACTTTGCGTAATGTCAGAGAGAGAGTCTGGGGGATAGGGGGAATTGTATTTTGATTTAATAACTGCCTGGGTAGAAATAGCAGAGAGGAGAAAAGTGAGAATTTCTATGTTTCAGATTTGTACAGATACAAAATACATAGGTGAGACATAATAGTGAGCTATAACAAGATACCAAGTGTGTTGAACAGAGGGAAAATGAACAAGTTTGGGAAAACAGAAAAACAAAACAAGACCACAAAACTCACCGCCATTAAATTGATGCCAGCTCATAGACACCGTTATAGAAACGCTAGAGCTGCCCCGGGAGTTTCTGAGAATTAACTCTTTATTGTTTGCTTTGTGTCACGTTTATTGAGGCTTATTTTCTTGGAAAGTTATCCTTCAATCCTAGGTTTTCAGACGTATTTGCTTAAAAGGGGCAACACATTCTCGTTCTTTTTCTTTCAGAGCTCATTAAGTTTTGCTTTTCATTAACCTCTTTCTGCTCCTTTGGCTGTATTCTTTTTCTCTTTTAACTTTTGGGTCAGATGCTAAATTTAGTTTGATCATTCAGTTTGGTTTATAAATTAAGCTTTCCTCTAAGGACCCCTTTGTCTGCACGCAGGTGCGTGCTGCATAACTTAGCCCGTTCTGGCCCTGTCTGATGGAAGGGCACCAGGGGGGGGGGGGGCAGGGTTCAGTTTGTGGCTCCATGGGACACGCGGCGCAGCCCTTGCAGCTGCTGAAAGCTCACTTTTAGCCCTCAGCGTGGTGGACTTGTACGCTATTGCTATCAAAAGTTCTGTGGCTACATTGGCACACACCCTCCGCAGTAACTGTTTGTGCCAGTAACCATTGGTGCCTATGCCAGTAACCATTGGTGCCTATGTGGGATGAGATACTGGACTGTAGGATGTGTTTCCAATTCCAACCAGGCTCCCTGGAGGCTGCTCAGAGAGCCTTGGACACCGAGGTACAAGTTTGCCAACCTAGAAGTTTCCGGTACAAATGGGGAGAACCAAAGCAGCTTGTGAGGGACTTACTGTGGTGTACAGGCATTGACTATACCCAGAATGTAGTGTGCTGGGGTAAGTCAAGTATTGCTCTCAGGGTTCCAGTTCATTCCTGAATACTTATGAACCTAACATCTCAGGAGTAACGTCCTTAGAATATTGTTGAAAATCAACTATATTGTACATCACAAAGAAAATGTCAAATTCAAAAAAGTAGGAACAATGAAAATGAGTCCTTGATCAGAATGGAATGTAAACAGATGTTAACAACACAATTAGGAAACAACTAGCACTACTTTTTTTGGAAAATAAAAAGGTCTATTAACTCAGAGGAAAGGAAAAGATACAAATCACAACTGCAGAAGTCATAGGAAACAAATGATAATGAAAACACTGTAAAGATATGTGTCAATATCCATGACCTGATCTGTTCAATAGGACATTATGTGGTTTGGATGTTGTGTGTACACCATATTGTCTATGTGGGTGAGTTAAAAACATTGCTATAAAATCATAGACCTTTATTAAACAGAAATAACCAAATGTGGTTTGCATGCCCATTTACATTTTGCACTTTTGTTTTCTGTCTCCAAAGATGTGTATTTGTTTATTTTTCTGAGCCATTTGAGAGGAAGTTGCAGGCAAGCCCCCTTATTTAAAAATATTTCATTATACAATTCCTAAGAATATGGACTCCCCCCGCAATCACAATATAGTAATTAAAAATTGAAAATGTATCTTCACGAATTTTCTAACCTCTAGTCCATATTCAGATTTTTGTCAATTATCCCAGGAATGCCTGTTAGGACTTAAAAAAAAAAGATTTTGAATGAATAGGCCTATGTATATTATTTCTAATGTGCTGTAGTTTTATTAGAATATAATGCAAATAAGGTAAATCACTTATCAACATGGTTAGAGTCGGATAAGGAGATGGTCAATAAGTGAGGTGTTAGGTGTATTATTGGAGCCCTGGTGATGTATTTGTTATGTGTTGGGGCTGCCAACTGCAAGGTCAGCAGTTGGAAATCACAGCTGCTCCTTGGGAGAAAAATGAGGCTTTCCAGTCCTGTAAAGAGTTAAGGCCTCTGCAGCCAATTAAGCCAACCGGCGGCCTCCTTGTGGGGGCTGGTGTGCAATGGCTGCAAACAGCAAGCCTCCTCGAAAGTGTATGCAGCCTATTGGTATGTCTAGGCTGCCCTAAGGGACCTTGGAGACAACTTTTTGATGCCTCTGGCCTGGCTAATTTCTGTTCTCCCTAACCTAGGTTCCAAACTGGGATGCCAGGTACTTTGGGGATATCAAAGCACGGTGGCTAGAGTCCACATTGGCCAGGTTATCATGTCCATTGGCACGAAGCTTCAAAACAAGGAGAATGTGATTGAGGCCTTGGGCAGGGCCAAGTTCCAGTTCCCTGGGGCCAGAAGATCCACATCTCCGAGAAGTGGGGCTTCCCCAAGTTTAATGCCAATGAGTTTGAGGATATGGTGGCTGAGAAGCACCTCATCCCAATGGCTGTGGGTCAAATACATCCCTAACTGTTCCACTTGTACTCACCAAATAAAAATTGAACTGCGTGGAAAATTTAAAAAAAAGAATTAAGTCCTCAGAAATAATGCCCTGCCTACAGGGCCGCCATGAGTCAGAATTGACAAAGTGGCAGGAGTTTTGTGTATTAGGATTTTAGGGAAAACTTTTATGTTTTAAGTGAATATTCTAAGAATAATTTCCAGTATATTGTACTCAGGTAGTTTAGTTCTGAGAGAGAGATGATGTTAGAGTAAAAACTAAGGGCATTAAATTCAACAGTTAAAATCCACTTAGGAACTTGTGCAGGAGTGTGGTACTAGAAAACAGCAACCAGGCACTGTGGGTATCAACTGCTTCCCTATGTTAGTAAAATGCTGACAGCAAATTTTCTTCTCTTTGCTCCGTTCTTGAAATGTATGCAGACTAAATGGTTTAATGAACATGGACTTGAAATCGCAGAATTCAAGTCATTGTAGTCTTTCCACACGATTATGTGTGGTCCAATCTCTTAGGCAAAAAAGATAATTGTTTAGTTCTTTTTCACAGGATTGTTTCCTTTTACATTCCTGAAAACTGCACCTTCTTCATCCTTCATAAGGCCTCGAGGTTCCAGGGCTTAGCCTGTGTGCTAGGATGGTACTTTATGCCAGCATTAACCTTCTAGTGCTGTTGTTATTTCTCCTACAGCAGACAATAACGTGATCAAGCTGTATGGGACCTCTTTTTTGAAGCAAGAAGGTGAACCCCGGATGTTAGAGAAAAGTGGACAGGAAGTTAGCCCAGGTGGGTGTGTGACAACTAGGGAGGTGATTCTTCCTCTGAAATGTTTCCTACTCACCTTAGTCCTTGGGTGTCAATTGATGGGAATTTCTTGGATACCTGAATGACATCGCTAACCCTCATTTTTGTTTAAATACTCTACTTTTTCATCGGAGTCTAGAACAGTGGTTCTCAACCTGTGGGTCGTGACCCCTCTAGGGGTCAAACGACCCTTTCACGGGGGTGGAGTCAAAGACCATCAGAAAACACATATTTCTGATGGTCTTAGAGCTGAAGCACTGCTCTCCAATCCATCTCCAGGTGGGTCTGCCCACATGCAGATACACCCACATATGAATACCTGGCGTGATGACATCATTGCTCCAACCCCATCACATACATCCGTACAAATACAGGTGTATATGACAGGGTTAGCACCATAATGTACTTCTGCGGACCAGTCACGTGTAGAGCAGCTATGTGTAGAAAGTAACTGCTTTGTTGAAAGCCGTTAAAGTAGCAAAATTACAGTATCAACTAAATAGTATCAATGAAAATAATTTTATGGTTGGGGGGGCGGGGTCACCACCACATGAGGAACCCTGTTAAAGGGTCACGGCATGAGGGAGGTTGAGAACCACTGCTCTAGAAGAACTGATGTACTCTTTCTCTTTTTCCTGATGTCAACACTTCGTATTTTGTTTGTACTGTGTGCCTCTGTTGTGCTCTCTCTTTAACCCCTTCAGTCTCATTCTCCAACGGGTCACTCCTTTCCTCATACGTTGTCCTTATCAGTCTAAAGTCTTTGCCTTTTTTTTTAGTATTTCAGTTCCTTTTTATTGCAATTTCCTCTTTTACTGGTCAAATGCTTGGAGTTATAATTATACTTGTCATACTTTCTATTATCTTCATAATCATTTCCCCAGCCCTACATCAACAAGCTCCTCCCTCTCTCTTGCTCCGGTGTACATTTGTTAAAAGTTGCTGGCTTACAAACCAGTGCTGCTTTTTTCCCTGCGACTGTTTTTATGTATGTATATGTATTGATAGAAGTTTTTTGAACACAAGGTCTATACTGAAAAAGTCTTCTCACCTCTGACTTCGTCCTACAATTCTTCAAGGATATAACCACTTTTGAAAGTTTCACATGTGTCTTTCTTGACATAGAGTTGGCATTTGAACAACATGGGTTTGGACTGCATGGGCCCACGTAGGCCAGCGTTTTTTTCCTGTTGCTATTGCAGTAAATGTTAGGCATTCACCCTTCCTTTCAAGCTAGAGAGACATACTGTTCACCTGGAGATCATTAGCATCACACAGCGTTTTAAGCAGATACTTAGAATGTTTCAGCTTTCTGCAGTAGCGGGGTGGGGAGGAGGGAGGTGTTGGTTCTTTTACATTTAAGTGGACCCACACTGTTCAACTGCAAACTATTTTCTTTTTTTTGTTTGCTTGTTTTTCTTTCTTTTTTTTTTTTAA